CCTGCTATTATGGTCCAACACCAAGGAATGAATCACGTAAATAGTTGTGAATGAAATTATGTGAATGTTTTATAAGCTTGACAGCCTGAAAAAAAATGGGGAGAATCAGAGGAGATACCCACACCCAGTTAGAGAGAGCCTGAGACAGGGAGAGAGGAAGGGAGGGAGGGAGAAAAACTTGTTTAGAAGGCACAGAAATAAAAAAATAAATAGCTTGTCACTCACGTCACAAACAAAGGAAAAACACTGAAGACCCTGAAGGCAGAAGTTTAACAGGCATCTCAAATCAATTTGATGCCATGTCTTGCGCTCTGCAGTAGATAGATATTCAAGGTCACTCTTCTTTTGGTTAAAGAGTACCAGTGGCATGTGCACATTGTTCAAATAGTCTCCCTTCAAAAAGGTTTCAAGATAGTTTCTTCCTTTGGACCTCTACATTAAATTGTGTGGTATTTCCCTGTAGCACAGGAAAAAAAAAGGAGGGACTATGCATGCAGATACCAGGTTCTTTTGCCTCCCAATATAGAGCGGAAAAAAAAGGTCTTCTTTTATACATCCAGCATGGGTGCTTATACGTCCAACAAGGGTGCTGACTGGCTGGAGCCTGCTTAACCTAATGAGCTTAAAATCTTATTTGCAGTGGACATCTGTCAAGGCAGAGGTGAGGTACACGAGTCCTCTTAATTCATTAGCACTTAAATCCATCAGAGCTTTCACACTCCTTTTTTGAATCAAAGAAGAAAATCTGAGCGGAAACCATACAGTGGGATAGCGCACATCATCAAGACCAGACCTTGGGCAGGAGGCACGTGAGATTCCAAGTAAGCAACAATGCCAACTGACAATAAAACCAGGATTATGAAGAAAACTTGGGAGAAAAAGGCTGGTGTGGAGTTCAGGATGAAACAGTGAGTTTGATTCTTTGCCTCTTTTTTTTTTTTTTTTTTTATTCCCTTCTCCCTGTTCATTTGGATATTTAATCAGAAAATAAAGCTAAAGACAGAGAAAAGATGGGCTGCACACCATCTCGCAGTGACTTTGCTAACAGCATTGCAAGAAATGGACTTAAGGGTTTGAATAAACCCAAAGGTATTTTGCGTGTCGATCCAGGAGACAAAGGAATTTCACTGCTAATTAAAAGTTCGTCTTGTTACACTATTGATGAGTTCGGTCAGTATGAGATTCAGAGGAAAGAGAACCCAAGAGAAAATGAGGAGCAAGTATCAGATCAAGACAAAAATGATAATTTCCAGTCATCTTCCAAGACTCATTCAGATCCCCAGATTGCCAGGGACAAAAAGAAAACTGAGAGGACAGCCACAGATGCTGAAGCAGCTTTTTCTGATCTTATTGAGTCCCAAAAACATGTCACTGAGGACATACAGATCAGAAAGCAAAGCTCCTGTGAATCAGAAGCATCAGCTTTTATTTGGGATGATAAGAATGAAAGCAACAGAAAGAAAATCCCAAAGAAAGCAAAAAAGCAAAGAAGTCATAAACTAGCAAAGCAAGGCCAACCTGGCAAAATTAAAGAAAAGTCCACTTTGCCTCCAAGCGAGACAGAGGAAAAAGTAGATTTCCCAGAACTGCTTGTTAAGGCTCATCAGAGTGCTTATGCCTACTTAAATCCCAACCTCTCCAAATATGAAGCGATCCTTCATATGGCCAGCCAGGCTACTCAAACTCAGCTCATCCTGCAGCAGATGGTAAGCTTCCTGATGCTTCGCTTTGATGAAATCAACCATCTCTTGGAAGAAATTGCTAATGATGGGGAAAATCTTCTCAAAAACGTGGGTGGGAATCTGGCATGGCCAGCAAAAAAAGATCTGAAGGAGCACCCTGATCTGTTGCAACAATTACTGCAGTACACAGTCAATAAAATGCAGTTGCTCAGTGGAACAGTGTCTTCCCTTACCTCAGATGCCCTGCAGGAGATGTGCAGCTACCTGCAGTCTGCTGCAAGCAACTTGGAAGGAAAACTGAAAGCAAAGCAAAGTTTTGATGAGCGGCTGTTGCGAACCATAAGTCTGCTTGAAGCCTCTACAGTGGGATCCTCTCCATCCCACAGCGAGGACAGAACGCTCTATTCTGAAGACAGTGGCATTGGAGCAGACAATGAATCTATCAAAGACTTCAGTGCTCTCAGTCAACTTGGAAGACAAACAAGCTGTGATTCTTGCGCACATGACCATCTATCCCAAAAGCACACCAGAGCTGTGAAGCACACTTGTGATGGAACAGCATCACCAGGTACAGCCACATCCCATGACTGTGCAGTTGAAAAGCATTTTAAAGATACATTTTACTCATCTGCTCAGAGTAGAGAAGTGGCTTCTTGTCACACTAGAGTACCAAAAGATACTTCTGCCATGTCCCAACATGCAAGACTGTGCAAAAGCCATTCTTATAACTCAGTCCAGTCAGATTCTGTTCAAGAAAGTGAACAGTTCAAAATGTGTGAATCCACAGATTTTCCCTCTGATGATGATGATGATGAAGGGAGCACCTTGGGGGAGGATGATGACAGCACAAGTTTATCAGAAATGGGGAAGGATATTCTGCCAAGAAGGCCTCTGTCTTCACCTGCGCTAACTGATAATACACAAAGGCAGTCAGCAAAGAGGACAGAGAATACAGAGACAGAGGAAATTATCCTGAAAATGAAATATGCCATCAGTGAAAAAATCAAGTTTGTCCCAGCTAAACCTGGGCATAAGGAATGGATAGAGGATGAGAGTGAAAGAACAATCCTAAGAGCAAGGCCTAGTACAGCAACAGGTAACCAGAAATCCCTAGTGAAACAGCGACGGTCCAGGTCAGAGGAGTCTCTCAGAAGCCAGGCAGAGGACCCAACTCTTCTAGAGCTTCAAAGAACTCAAAAAGAGCTCAGCAAAAGACTGGAAATATTTTACAGAAACAAGGACACAGACAGGAACCCAGAGCCTTGGAAATCAAGAACAGCACCTTGTTTACAGGATGAGCATGTTACATCTAGATCCTCTAACAAACTGAAGGCTTGTCTCTCAAAAAATTTCAGCATACTGCCTAACCAGGATAGAGTTCCTTTATATGTGGTTGATCAAAATCCTGTTAATCACCTGGACGAAAGAAAAGGCAAGAGGCTCTTAGGATCTACTGTGTCCCCACAGGAGTCATCAAGCAGCAAAGATGTGGAGCCTCCTGGAACACAACTCCAGAACAGCAGTAGCTGTGCATCCCACAAATCTGTCAAAAAGCTTATTGAAACATTCAGCCCTATTGATCATCTTCTAAGGACCACAACTCTAAGATCTGTAGGACCAATAAAGTGCATCAAAAATTTTGGACTTCCAGTTATTCCACCCACTCTTCCCTTTCAGAAAGGCCTGACACCTTTAAGTCCTAAGAATTGTATTTCACCAGTAGAAGTCATAAACCATCAAAACACCGATGCAGGTTCTTCAAATTTTCCCCCTGTACCAGCTGCAGAATTAAGTACAAAGGACACAAAAGAGGAGACTGATGAAGACATTGAAAATCTGCCACCACCACCCCCTGAAATGTTAATGGACACTTCTTTTAGCTTATCTGAGTCTGAAGAAACTGCCAAAATAGATGGAAACTCTTCAGAAGATGCGAAGAAACCCATCAAAACAGAACTTCACACTACTAGGAGAGCACACATTTCCCCCAAAATCAAAGCCTCTCTCCAGTCCATTGACTTATTACCAAGCAAAAATATCAGCAGCCCCAATGCGATTGCTAATAGAGTTGTAAGAAATGCTGGAGTGGATGAGAAATTTCGGAAATACTCTCTGGAGCTGAATCCTACCAATGTGCACATCCCTAGCCAAGAAGAGATCCTTGCAACTCAGAGAAAAGAGGCTGCAGATTTGTATAAGCAAACCCATAGAATTATTCCTCTTCGAAATCCCAGTGATGGTTCAAAAACATGCGGTAATAGCTCAGAGAGCAAAGAGCCCAGTTCGCTTGCAACTTCAGCGCAGTGCCAGAAGCACGGATCTCCTGACTCACTGAGGAAAAACGAGAGAGGGTCAGCTTTCGTCAGGAGAGTCTCCCCAACGAGGACTCCTTCTCCACCAGCTGAGAGGCGTCTCTTCAGCCCGCCTGCACATCATAGAAACACTCTGCAGGCGTTCAGCAGCTCCCAGCCCGGCTCACCTGCCCTGCAGAGGAAGCCCAGCCCACCGGGCAGCCCCCGGGCACCCAGCCCCACCACACAGAAGAAGCTCTCCTCTCCACCGGCCCTGCGGAAGCTGCTCAGCCCGCCCGCAGGGCGCCAGCCAAGCTCGCCATCTCCACACAAGCTGCCAGGTTCCCTGGGTGGCCACCGAGATGCGAGCCCACCTCCTTTCCCAGTCACTCCTTCCCCACCATCCTCACCAGCTCAGTCTTATAAGGGACTCAAAGCCGGGTTGGATGCTGGTGACGAGCAGCAACCCTTCTCCTCAAGGAGGGGGAGCAACGTCCGTTCAATATTCTGCCCCATGACTTCCTCCCTGTTTGAAGCCAGGCCTCCAATGTCCCTTGGCAAACTCACGGCAGAGGTGCCAAGCCAGCCAGCGGCTGCCCCGTTTCCCCAGGGAAGGAGTGTTCTTCTCAGGCAGCCTGGAGAGCGGCCCAGGAAGCTGTCTCACAGCGCTGCCAATCCTCAGCCCTTCGTGAAGAGAAGTTTCTCTGACCGCCGGCCGGGGGTGCAGCCTTGTCTTCCTGCTCCGGTGTCAGCTGGCAGTGAACCTGCGCTCAACCAGGCAAGGTAAGAGGAACTTCCAAGAAAGAAGGGATAGAGCACCATGAAAGAAGAGGTATAGCACTGTGTTGGCTTTCTAAGTTTCCATGGGGAATTTGTTGTAGCTAAGATATTCCCAGGAAAGGGGCCTTGTTCATGTGCAGGACAGATGTCCGGGCAAAGACACTCATGCATTGTACTTTGACCAAGATTTCAGATTTGCCAGAACAAAGGAAAAACTTTCTTTTCCACATCTTGTTCAAGCCTTGCGCTGTCTGCTGTGACAGGCAGCCCAGAAAGGATTCAGTGTCACTCAACTCCTATAAGCTACGAAATAACCTTCAGAATATTATTATCTTTAAACAACCATGAAAAAGTAAGGTTGGACTGAGAGAAAGGGCATCATTCTTAACATCAGTGTCCAAGCCAATAATATGTTCAGCTGAATCCTGCACTAAGACATTTCAAGCAGCCAGCAAGAACGACTGACAGGCAATGTGTAGGTAAGGATCTGTGTGGACGTAATTATAGCCTGAAGCTTTGAGCTTGTCATGTAGCCTTTCAGATCTAGGGACTGCTTTCAAATCTGATGGGTCGGCAGCCCAAGTCCGGTTTTCAAAGTGGAAAAATCTCCCATGGCCACCAGAAAGACATTGATTAAAAAAAAAAAAAAAAACAGATTAAAGAAATTTAAACATGAACATGTAGATTCCATGCCCCTAAGAATCAGTGGCTATTTTGAAAAACCTAGACGTATCTTTAAATTCGTTCCATCACTTTAATAAAAAAAAAAAAAAATCACAAAAAAGCCATGAAATGAAAATGATCATTTGGGAGTTCAGTGTAATGGCCTGCAAGCGCTAAGTGTTGTTGTTCTAGTTTCTCACAGTCTTAGGACATTTAAGTTCATTAAGTTTTAAGCTACACAAGAGGATTAAGACTCTGCTCATGTAACCTTTCTTCACATGAGGAGTATTTTTACTCTTCCCTGCAGAACGGCTGAAATCACATGAGTTGCCCAGATCAGTAGGGGTTGCAAGACTAACCCTAAAGGGGAAAATAACCTTGCATTTGTAAATGCACAAACACAAAATGTGTTGTGAGTAGATAAATGAACCTGTCTATTAAAATCAGATGTCTAGGCATTCCTCTCCCAAAAGTAAAATAAAGAAACAAGTTTCTCGCACTTATGGTAAAGGAGTATGAAAAAGCCACTGGGAAGCACTAGAAGTTTTGCATTCTGAACTGTAGTGTTGTATTATACTTTAATTTTCAAAGATTCCCTGAATCCTTGAAGAAATCTACATTGTTGCAGAGTTTTTCTGTTCCTGTTATGTACCACGTGGATTCAGCTTCAGCTGCGCCAGGGTCCACTAGCAGAAATAAGTGTCTTCAGAAGAGGCTTTATATCAAACCTTGCAAGACAAAAAACCCTGGCAATTTTATGGATCAATTTTAAACAGTTTATTATAAATTGTTGGCTAATTCATGCTTCAATGGTGTGTATTATCTGTGTATTGTAGCTCGTCACAGCATGAAAGTTAATATAAAAAAATTGTAAATAGTCTTCCCTGGAAAAATAGATAAGTGTTATGAAATACATAATTTCTCATCATTTTGGAATAATGACAAGAGCCAAATTCATCTTAGCATTTATGCAAATGACCATCTAGAGTACTCCTACTGAATTAGTCCAGATTGATATTGGTAAAAGCAAATGAGAAATTCATTCCATTACCACATGCATTGCGCTAAGATGTAATACACTACAGACCTTGCTTTGAACGTCGTAAGATAAACATCACTGTCAGCCAGCTGACAGGCAGAGATGTGTTGTTTAGGAGTCTGCAAGTTGCAGAAATTGGAG